ACACACACACACACACACACACACACACACACACACACACACACACACACACACACACAGACAAAGATCTTGAGGACAGAGCTAAAGGTCCAGGGAGACTAAGGTGGCCAGAGTTCATGGAACAAAAGAGCAGAGGCCGGAGCTGTTCCCAGAGATTCACTGACTGTGTGTGACAGGACGAAAGAACCAAACAGAAGGGAACTGAACAGTGCTCACCGAGGGCAGCGAGTGCTGTCTGCTCCCAGAAGTCAGACCGGAAAACCCACTAACTCCTGGGATTCTGGGTTCAGGAGTCAAAAATACTTAGCTCAAATGGGGCTGGCTCCTCCCCCACCTAACAGGCCTTAAAGCAAAGATCAAACTGTTTCCTGACAATTGGCCTGCATTTAGAAAAAGCTTACTGATTTCTACAAACACCAAAAACACCCAGTACAAGCCTTTCTGTGGGGCAAGGGGTGCAGGTAGGAACATGAACACAGATACGAAAACACACATAGATACATACACACAATGGCAATGCTCCAAAGACCAAGCAATGTGGTTCCTTCTCACAGGCTGACCATTTCTTCCAGGACCCCACAGCATGTGAAGACACATGGGACGTACTGGGCGGTCAGTTCTAAAGGATGCCTGATTCTAGGGCTGGCTGAATCCCCAAAGCCACTCATGTCTACTTATGCATTCAGCATCTGCATGTGGAAGCAGCATCATTAAGGGCCTTAGTCGTGGGTGCCGCCTCGCCAAACTCGGGGAACACAGCACACAGCTGCTCACCAGGTGTGAAGAGACACTTACCACTGAGGATCTCACTGTTGTTCCCCCAGAAGTCTGCCAACTTGGATGGTCTGTGGTAGAATTCATCTCTGTTGGCTGCCAAGATGAGCCTGGGAGAGGAAATCAAGGGAAGCCATGTCCTGGGGATTGAAATGCACATGCTCCCCACGGAGCTGCACCTCCAGCCTCTCTGGTCTAACAGTAAATTTTCAGCAGCAGCAGCATGAATAAGAACCGCTCACCCCTTGCCATATATCCACAGGCGCTCTAGGCAGCTCCTGGGAAACTGTGGCAGAGCCCCTGCTCAGGAGACAGGCATGAGGAAGAGGTGTAGGCATGAGGCAGGACAGGAAGGAAACCAAGGAGATGTGAGATCGGAAAGGGCTGAAGTAGCTCACCAACTCAGAGTTGAGAACTCTAGTACAATTAACATTCACCGTTAGGACTGCCTACACAGGGCAGGTACATGAGCTGGCTTAGTGGTTCAGAGCACAGACTGCTCTTCCAGAGGACTGGAGTTTGATTCTCAGAACCCACACCAGGAAGTTCACAATCGCCTGTAACTCCAGCTCCAGGGGATCCCACATCTCTGTTATCTGGGAGCACCTGTACTTACGTGCACATATCCATAAAAAATATAAATAATTTAAAGTAAGAAATATAAATGTTTTTAAAAAGAGACATTAAAAAGAGACAATGTTCTTTTTATATAGATTTTTTTTCCCAAATAAGTGTTAAAATAGCAATGAGCCATGTAAGGCCTGATCATTTATGTCCTTGAGCATGGCCTTGTTACCTTTCCAGATATAAGTCTGAAGTTTGCTGAGAATCTCAAACAAGACTGAAATCTGTTCACAGTACAAGCATCTTCTGTTACCCATGTGACTTTATCTTATCAGCTACTCTCACCCAGCGCCCCTTAGCAGCCACTCTATCCTTGAAGTCCTTACAACCCTCTGAGTTGTGCCTTCAGGAGGTACAGAATCATACACACCTTTGAGACGTGCCTTCACAAGGCACAGTATCCTACACCTTTGCGATGGACCTTCAGAAGGCAACGGAATCATATACTGCAGACACTGAGGCATGTCTGGGGAAGCCCATACCTTTGCCCTGGTAGTAGTACCCAAGGGTCTCTACTAACCTCTGTGCCAAAATCTATGTTAAAAATCTCTTCTCAAGGGGTAAAGCCTGGGTGGCACTCACCAACCTAAGACAGAGCACCTGTGTGGCCTGGGCAGACGTCTCCATGATGGGTAAGGTGACCTGCTGACGTCCCACGAAACCCAAGTCAGAAGCTCATTTTTTAATAAAAGGGGAACCTGCAGGGCCCTGGCCTCCGTTTTGGGTAACTGTTGCCTTGCTTGCGGACCTTGACCTTGATATCCTCCCAATGCTAATTCCCTGCCAGGTTCCACCCTCCTGAATGCTTAAGGGAAGTTCCTTGTCTGTGTATCCTGAATAATGGGCGTTAACAGCTTAGATGCAAGATTGTAAAACATCAGTAGGGAACTTCTGCCCTCCGGGGTCCTCCCATTGTGCTGTAAGCCTGTATTTAAGACCTCCTACCCCATTCAAGAAATGACATTTGACATTTAAAATATATGTAAAATTGAATGAATACTGCGAATGTAATCTATGAATACCACAAATGTGATTAATATCATGAGTGTAACTTAAAAAATAAATAAATTAATTAATAAATTAATAAATTAGCCTGGGCTACCAAGTGAGTCCCAGGAAAGGCGCAAAGCTACACAGAGAAACCCTGTCTCGAAAAATCAAAAAAAAAAAAAAAAAATTAATAAATTAATTAATTAAAAAAATCTCAAGAAACTAGACATCAAAGCACTGAACAGTCCAATTAAAAAATGGGCTAAAGAGCTAAACAGAGAATTCACAAAACAAGAACTACAAATGGCTGAAAGACATTTAAAGAAATGCTCAACATCCTTAATCATCAGAGAAATGCAAATCAAAACTACTCTGAGATACCACCTTACACCTGTT